GAAATGAGGCCCCTCTGTTTCTCGACGCACCCTACTCAAGGTCCCACTCACCAGCATGTTCTCTTTACTAGTGCAAAAGTATGAATAAAGCCGCTCAACTCTCAGGCTCCACTCCAATACCCTCGCAACATCTCTAAAAGCACAGCTGTCTGGGAATTCCAGCCCACCTCAATCCTTTCTCCTACTGGTTACAACTAAAACTCCAGAAAAAATACAGAAGGCATCTCCTTGCAGACTCTGAACAAAAGTAAGCAGATTAGGGAAGAAAGCCAACACTTAGAGAATAATCCATATCAGGGGGTGAGTTTTCTAGTTTTTCCCCTTTTATCTGCTGACTCTAACCAAAGGGTGGTTCCACTGCAGAACTATGCAGAAGACAGGGGTCTTAAAACACATGAGAAAATCAGAGCAGAAGACCTGGGAAAAGGGTCCCTGAAAACTGCAAGATTGTAGAAGAAATCTCAGAGAAGACAGAGCTGGACAAGCGAATCCTTTATTCTGTCACAAGTCCCAGGATCACCTCTAAGCTGTGCATGTACCAGATCAACCCAAAGCATCATAGCCAAGACTTTGAAATCTGACCTATAGTATCATCCACTGCTCATGCCCAGAGAGGCACAGGTATGGAATAGACCCAACGCAGCATAACAAAGGCTTTGAAAACCAGATTAACATTGGAACTGCTGCCCACAGATAGTGAAACAGAACTAGCAATAAGAACCCCATCATACTGATTTCCTGCCAGAATAATAAAATCCACATTCTGCAGAGACTTTAACAGGACCCAAAGACTCACAACATAGTGTCCCAAGTGTTGAAAATACAGTTAAAAACTACTTATAATACAATAAATCAGGACAATGTGACCAATTCTCAAGAGAAGATACCATCAACAGATGCCAACTCTGAGGTGATCCAGGTGTAGGGTCTTCACTCAAATATTTAAAATTAAAGAGCTATTAGAAACATGTTCCATGAGGTAAAGGTAAACACTCTCCAAATGAATGGAAAGGTAGACATTCTCAGTAGAAAAATTGAAACTATTTCTAAAATAGAAATTTTAGAACATAAAAGAGACTATGAATAAGTGAAATTTAAAAGTCACTAAATGAGCTCAAAATCAGAATGGAGATGACAGAGTTAAGAGTCAGAAAACTTAAAAAAATTAATCAGTAGAAATTACCTGATATGAACAACAAAGAAAAGATTTAAAAAATGAATACAGCCTCAGGAACCTATAGGGCAATACCACAAAGTCACATTTGTCACATTTGTGACATTGGAGTGCCAGAGTGGAAGAGAAACAGATTGATGCAGGAAAAAAATATTTTAAGAAATAATGAACAAAAACTTACTAACTTTGTGAACGATATGGGAATGAACCTCTCTCTGTGACCAGACACAGAATGGAAAGATATTTATGTTCTATGTGAATGCTCACCAAAGAACTGCACTGCAGAGAAGACTCTTTGTAACATAGAAAAGATGACATTTTCTGTGGATATCAATCACCCCAATGTTTGCTCAATAGATGTTGTAGAAAGTGGGCATGTTGGCTGGGATGGCAGAAACACTCAGACTCAACATGGACTCCCCCTCACCAAGGCTGACTTAGTGACTCCTTCTGCCAAAGGTCAACTTGCCACAGAGCCCAATCTTGCACCCCAGGTAAGGCAAAATTCCCTAAGGGGACTAGCCAGCCACCTAGTGACAAGTTGGTTACACTGAACCACTACACCATGGAGGGGGCAGCAATATGTCTTAACTTGACTAGGTATATATGTGGAATATGAATTTGTCCTCTCCAACTGTGATGTTTCTGCCAATTTGGAAATTTCTTACAAAATAAAACATACTCTTATCATGCAGTTCAGCAGTTGCGCTCCTTAGTATTTGCCCAGAGAAGCTGAAAACTTATGTTCACCTAAAAACCCGCACATGGATGCTCACAGCAGCGCTATTCATAATTGCCAAAACTTGGAAGCAACCAAGATGTCCTTCAGTAGGTGAATGGATAAATAGACTGTGGTCCATCCAGACAATGGAAAATTATTCAGTGCTGAAAGAAATGATCTATCAAGCCATGAACAGACATGAAGGGATCTTGAATACATATTACTAAGTGAAAAGAGCCCGTCTGTAAAGGCTACATACTGTATGTTTCCAATTATACAATATTCTGGAAAAATCAAATCTATGGAGAAAATTTAAAAATCAATGATTGCCAAGAGGTAGTGGGGAGAGAGAGATGAATAAGCAGAGAACAGAGGATTTTTAGGAGGGTGAAACTACCTGTGTGACACTATGATGGTGGATACATGTCATTATATATTTGTCCAAACCCAGAGAATGTACACCAGCAAGAATGAACCCCAATAAACTGTGGACTTCGGGTGATAAGGACGTGTCAATGCAAGTTCATCAGTTGTAACAAATGTACCAGTCTGGTGTGGGATATTCATAATGGGGGAGGTTCTGCATGTGTGGGAACAGGGGTTACATGGGAAATATCCTACTTTTCACTCAATTTTGCTATGAATCTAAAACTGCTGTAAAAATAAGTTTTTTTAAAGGCATTCCCAAAAGGTTACTTACAGTTATATAAATGATTCCATTAACATAACTTTCTGGAAATGACAGAATTATACACATGAAGAATACAGTAGTGGTTGCCAGGAGTTAAAAAGGGAGTGGGCATGAGGAAGTGGGTGTGGCCAGAAAAGGCAAAGTGAGGGATTTCCATCCTTGCGCAGACTGACAGTATCAACGTCATATCCTGTTTGGGTTGGTGCGCTGTTTTTGCAAGATATTAGCACGTGGGGGAAACTGGGTAAAGTGAACACAGGATCTCTGTGCTATTTCTTACAACTGCATGTGAATCTATAATTATCCCAAAATAAAAAGTTCAATTTTTTAAAAAAAGGATGGACTGCTAAAACACTCCATACATGGATGAATCTCAAAGCGTTATGGTGAACTATTCTGCAAGTGACAGAAAATCGATCAGTGGTTGCATGGGGCCAGGGGCAAGGGGGGATGGAGTGCGAAGAGACTAGAAGGTGATGACAATGTTTTTGTCTTGATAGTGGTCACAGTTTTATGAATGTAAATAACTGATAAAACTCTGACTCATACTCTCTAAACGGATGTGGTTGATCTTAAATTCTTTCTCAGTGAAGTTGATAAGGAATGAGTTAATGGTCCAGAAAACAAGGTCTCTAAGTCATGCCATCACGACTGTGAAGGCCTCGGCCTGGCACAGAGAAGACTCCATTGTGGCTCACCGAGGTTCCAAGGAGGCTTTCAGAGCCACCTAGCAGCTGACCAACAAACACCTTTTTTATTCCCTCTGGATATGAAACCCACGTGTGGTTCTCAACAGAGAGGAGCACAGCACAGGCCTTGGAAACACCGAGATGACCATCTGGCTGGAGAGGTGTGCCGCATGTGAGAGATGGAGGTGGCCACGCAGGGGATGACTCTGAGTCCAAACAATCCCAAGAAGAGGGGTGGCAAGCACGGCAGATGCAGACACAGGCCCAGAGAGGGCTGGAGTGAGCCGGAGTGAGAACTCACCTCCCATTGACCAGTGGCATCGCCGGCCACCGGTGCCCCACTTACCTTGACTTGACACACTGGTCATGTGTGCTTCCTCCTTTGCCCCCATCCCCAGGCAGATCTGGGATCCCAGTAGGATTTCCATCCTGCTTCTCTGGCATCTCTCTCTTCCTTTCCCTTTTCTCTGCCACTTCTCCTGGTCATGACCTTACCACCTTCCACCCGAATCATGGCAGAGCCTCCTCCCCAGCACTGGGTCACAGTCCTGCACACGATGACTGCCTTAGGTCAGGTTTCCTAGAAGCAGAGCCTAAGATGGGGATCCTTGTTCAGGTCATTTATTGGGGGAATGCTCTCAAAGAAACGAGATGAGGAAAGCAGGATGAGGCAGAGGAAGGACCTAAGACAGAGGAAGGAACTATGCTGTAAGCTGGACCCATCAGGGAAGTCCACGGGCAAAAACATGAAAAAGAGATTTGGATGGGACACCACTGAAATGACTGTCTTGCCAATGGGTTTCAGCCCCGGGCAGGTTCACTATGGATTCAGTGTGACCAAAGAAAATGACAGAAAAACGTTCTTGGGGTGAAAGAGTTATACCCAACTTTATTTCCAGGTGGCAGGTCAGTCACTAGAATCCCATTCACTCAGAGTGAGTCTGCAGGCAGCAAGCCAGTCTCTGCCTCTGGGCCCCTCTGTCCTCACAGCCATCCTACACATCCTCTGGGCCTCTCTGCACAGCCGTCCCACACAGCCTTCCTCTGGGCCTCTGTCCTTGGCACTGCCACCCCTCCAGCCTCTGCTCTGCTCTCCTGCAGCCTTGCAGCCCTGCCACTGAGTTGCGCCTAGAGCACTCAGTTTATAGAGCACTCTTTTTATAGAGTCAACAGCCATGTATTGCCCACAGGTGTGCAGTGAGCTAGTCAGCCATGGCCAGGTGAGAATCCTGGCCACAGGCACTCTCATTTTATCTACAATGACCTTCCCAACAACAAACTTGATTTCATCAGGCCTTTGATTAAAACTGCCAGATGACTCCAGGTGCACTGGGTGGGGTGGGGAGCACCGGGCCCAGTCTCTCCATCTTCATGTAAGACCCATGCAACCAGATCAACCTCCCTATATCTACTTCCCCTCCCCACCTCTTACTCTGTCTCTCACCCACAGAGGTGGAGAAGGCTAGGGAGTAAAAGCAGCCATCCAGATAATTCCATTTCCTAATCTGCTCATTTTGAAGTGATGTAAACGGCCTTGTATGGGTTGATCAAACAAAGCTGATGACAGCGTCCCTCCCTGTCACTTTGGCTCTGAAGACAGTATCACTGAGGCCCTGTTTTCTTGTCTCCAGTGCTCTGGGCTTGGATAAAGTGACCTGACATGTGACTGGACCATCAGGCTTCCAGGCGTGACATCCCCGCCTGATGTGCTTTCATCCCACACGTCTAATTGGGCTTCACGCCCATCACAGGCTTCTCAGGAGGATGGGAGCTAATGCAGTGTGATGGGCCTCGGAAGGCACTGTCAGCTCCTGTCTCCGGGGCTTCAGTGCCACACTGGTCCCAGACCAGGGCCATCAGGCTGGAAGCAGAGACATCAGCCAAGCAGAGCCGCCATTTAGGGATGACAGCACACTATGCAGAAAAGTGCTAGTGGCCTGCATCAGGGGGACAGACTTGTCCCCTAGGGGCTGGCAGAGGTGGCCACTCAGCCCCACATCTCCGGTATATTATGCCTACCAGTGCTGCCCACATTATCACAAGCACAGCTTCCCTTTCATAAAGTGCATGTCGCGAACCCTGATGCCACTCCATGTAGGGGGCACTCCCCTCTCACAGGGCAGGAACCTGAGGCATCGAGGAACCGAGCCACCTGCCCAAAGCTACCTCCTACTTCAGATTCACATTCAAACTTATTTTTTGTCTCCTAGCCATTCCACTCCAGAGAAAAGAAAACACGGTAGAAGAGGAAACGGGCTCATATGAGAAATACTAGGCCCACATGATTCTTCTTAGCCCAGGTGAGGAGGAGGCGGTCAAACAGGGCTTCACTGGCCCCCATCACTGCCTTTTCTGTGTTGTTCCTCATGGGGCAGAGAGAAAAGTGGGCCCCCCTGTACATTTCAAGGTCCAGGGGAGGAAGGCTGGGTAGAGAGCACAGGCACAAAGCGCAGAATGGACCTGTCAGTGTTCCCACAGGGCAGGAAATGGAGGGGAGCGGAGCAGGCAAGCAGGGGGCAGAAGGCCTACGAGGCACTGCAGCTGGAAGGGGCTGGGATGGAGGAGCTCACAGGGCCTTCGGAAGTGGGACACTGGCCTCTGTCCCTTTCCAATCACCAAGCACAGCACCTCGCAAACTGAAAACAATAAATGGGTAACCGAGCAAATGAAGGGAAAACTCTGGAGATACAGATTAAGGTGTGCCTGTCAAAAGCTATCCTGCTGAGAGCCAACCCCATCTATCACATCATTTACCAGAAAAATTCTTCTCCAGACCCGGCAGAACCAGGGCTGAGCACCCCCAAACCAGCAGGCCTTTCCTGCGAGTCAGGGCCCCAGCCAGCTGCTGCCCAGGAGCCCTGCCAGCCACCTCCTACCACCCTGATGAGATGCGAGAGCTGAAGGGAAGTAGCTAATTGCGTAATGTTTTATTAATCCTTTCTCCATGAAATATTAATTGTGAGCTTTCACGAATATGAAGATCTGCCTGCTTTTTAATGGCTCGGGTTTGCAGCTTCTCCAGCCGAATGTGTGAGTTTCCCATTGAGGGGCCATGGTGACAAGCATGATGCCAGATCCTGTTGAAGGAACACAGTGGACAGCCCAAAGCACATGGATGTCCAAGCACAGCCCCAGGCAGGCTTCTCTGCCCACAGCCACAGGCTGTCGAGGAGGGGCGGGGGGCATGGCTGCTCAGTGTTACACAGTGAGGTAGACTAAGGAGAGATTTACACCCAAATACCCAGCCCACTGTGGGCCAAGAGGAGGCAGGACCCCTGCAAGTGGAAGCCATCAGCACTAACATAGCCAGACAGCAAGGACTGTGTTGTGAGACTTACCTCTTCCCCTTTTCACTGAGACTGGTTCACATGGAAGGAAAAGTATCAAAGAGAAACACAAGCCTTAAGCCAGATGCAATGACTACATTCTGAAAGTGGTAGTTCCTGGAAGCAGGAGGGAAGAGATTGGCTATCAGTGCCACACTGGTCCCAGACCAGGGCCATCAGGCTGGAAGCAGAGACATCAGCCAAGCAGAGCCGCCATTTAGGGATGACAGCACACTATGCAGAAAAGTGCTAGTGGCCTGCATCAGGGGGACAGACTTGTCCCCTAGGGGCTGGCAGAGGTGGCCACTCAGCCCCACATCTCCGGTATATTATGCCTACCAGTGCTGCCCACATTATCACAAGCACAGCTTCCCTTTCATAAAGTGCATGTCGCGAACCCTGATGCCACTCCATGTAGGGGGCACTCCCCTCTCACAGGGCAGGAACCTGAGGCATCGAGGAACCGAGCCACCTGCCCAAAGCTACCTCCTACTTCAGATTCACATTCAAACTTATTTTTTGTCTCCTAGCCATTCCACTCCAGAGAAAAGAAAACACGGTAGAAGAGGAAACGGGCTCATATGAGAAATACTAGGCCCACATGATTCTTCTTAGCCCAGGTGAGGAGGAGGCGGTCAAACAGGGCTTCACTGGCCCCCATCACTGCCTTTTCTGTGTTGTTCCTCATGGGGCAGAGAGAAAAGTGGGCCCCCCTGTACATTTCAAGGTCCAGGGGAGGAAGGCTGGGTAGAGAGCACAGGCACAAAGCGCAGAATGGACCTGTCAGTGTTCCCACAGGGCAGGAAATGGAGGGGAGCGGAGCAGGCAAGCAGGGGGCAGAAGGCCTACGAGGCACTGCAGCTGGAAGGGGCTGGGATGGAGGAGCTCACAGGGCCTTCGGAAGTGGGACACTGGCCTCTGTCCCTTTCCAATCACCAAGCACAGCACCTCGCAAACTGAAAACAATAAATGGGTAACCGAGCAAATGAAGGGAAAACTCTGGAGATACAGATTAAGGTGTGCCTGTCAAAAGCTATCCTGCTGAGAGCCAACCCCATCTATCACATCATTTACCAGAAAAATTCTTCTCCAGACCCGGCAGAACCAGGGCTGAGCACCCCCAAACCAGCAGGCCTTTCCTGCGAGTCAGGGCCCCAGCCAGCTGCTGCCCAGGAGCCCTGCCAGCCACCTCCTACCACCCTGATGAGATGCGAGAGCTGAAGGGAAGTAGCTAATTGCGTAATGTTTTATTAATCCTTTCTCCATGAAATATTAATTGTGAGCTTTCACGAATATGAAGATCTGCCTGCTTTTTAATGGCTCGGGTTTGCAGCTTCTCCAGCCGAATGTGTGAGTTTCCCATTGAGGGGCCATGGTGACAAGCATGATGCCAGATCCTGTTGAAGGAACACAGTGGACAGCCCAAAGCACATGGATGTCCAAGCACAGCCCCAGGCAGGCTTCTCTGCCCACAGCCACAGGCTGTCGAGGAGGGGCGGGGGGCATGGCTGCTCAGTGTTACACAGTGAGGTAGACTAAGGAGAGATTTACACCCAAATACCCAGCCCACTGTGGGCCAAGAGGAGGCAGGACCCCTGCAAGTGGAAGCCATCAGCACTAACATAGCCAGACAGCAAGGACTGTGTTGTGAGACTTACCTCTTCCCCTTTTCACTGAGACTGGTTCACATGGAAGGAAAAGTATCAAAGAGAAACACAAGCCTTAAGCCAGATGCAATGACTACATTCTGAAAGTGGTAGTTCCTGGAAGCAGGAGGGAAGAGATTGGCTTGCAAGGATGGAGCAAGACAGGTGGAGGCTTTATGAGGAAACTCAGCCCACTTCCCACCTTGAAGTGGAAAGCTTCAGTGGGCTGCCTGCCAGCCTGATGCTTGGATGCAAGCATTGCATCCCCTGGAAGGGGTTTTGACATGAGTGGAGAAGCAGGAATGGCCAATCTCCTAAATAATTCCTGAAGCCACGACCCAGCCCTAGACACAGAGGCTAGGTCCACAGGCATAGGACAGATGGTTCATGGCCACCTGAGAGGATGCCCAGCCTGGTGAAAGGGTCACTGGGATATACCTCCAGGGGCCAAAAGGAGGAAAGGATGCCCCTCTGGCAGGCTCCCAAGATATGGAGGGACCACAGACAGCACTGCCTTAACATACAGCACCATCATGGAGACAGCCAGCAAAGGCTGGAGGCAGCCTACAGTGGAGGAGGGTCTGTGGCACCTCCCAGGGCCCACAGGGAAGAGGCTAAGGAGGGATCCTTCACCTCCCCAACTCTCTGCCCTGCTCCCAAACCCCTGAGGAGACAAACTTGAGGAGAGAGGGAGTAATCTCAGGAGCAGACCAACACCCCCTCCTCAACGCAAGGCCAGAGCTCTGGAAAAAGAGAAGAGACTGTCCAAAAAGTTTGAGGCTGAAGTTTTTCAAATAATGACTAGGAACAAACCTTGACTTCCAGAATGAATAAAACCTGCAAGTGTTAGAATAGGACAAAGACCACATTTACAGAACCACAAAGGAACAAGGGGCATTCTACATAGCAGATTTCCTTGTTAGTCCGAGTGTACTCAACAGATAACAGCATTGGCTTGTTAGAAAAGCAGAATTTCTGCCCCTAAACCAAACGAGCTGAACTGGAATCTGCATTTTAACATTATCCCCAGGTGATTCAAAAGCACAATGAAGTACGAGGATCACGAGTAGAGCTGGATGAAGTAAAACATTCTTCAATCAGTTGGTTACATTAGATAGGGTCTGGTTCTGTTGCTTGCCACCAAAAACATTAAGCTGAAAAAGAAGTCATCACCCATTACTGTTAACACGCCTCCCAGGATCAGCGCTTCTCAAAGTGATAAGGGGAAAAGGCTTATCCTAGGGAACACTGAACCTGTGTCTGAGCCTTCTTGATGCCCAATGCTTTCATCCTGTTGTTCCCTAGCACAGAGCACATTCCACGCCGTGTGGCCACAAGGATGTATGCTGCACAGCTGTGGAGTACCATGGTCTGGATCAGCATGGCAGCCCTGCCCTCCTAGAAGCCTAACACTGACCTTTGTAAAACCAGACATACACTGAGTATCAGAATTAGAGCACAGATTGCATTTCTCAGCTCACATTTCTCTCCCATCCAGAAGCACAGACACTCCGACCTCCCTGCACAGCTCCCTGGAGGGTGTTTCACGCATGTGCATGAATGGCCTCCTCGGCCTCCCTTTCACATCTGCATGTTGCTCCTCTCTGCTCAAGGTCCTGGCAGCGCTTCCTGCAGACGCAGAACACAGCAGTCCTGTGTGCTCAGCAGGGCCCCACTGGAGGTTCTGACTGAGGAGACCTCCCCCTGTACACTGGGCACAGGCCTGCAGGGGAGAGGCCAGAGGACACTCCCAAAGACAGATCCTAGGGTGTTTCCCAGTCACTCCCACTTGAAATTTCTTCTCAAAGGATGCATTGTTTTCCTAAAATATATACACATATATATGCATATACATAAACATTTACATATATATATAACTTGTTAATGCCCATATCCCCCACTGGATGGTAGGCTCTGTGAGGCCAGATACATTTCACCTTGG